TCAGAAGGCAGAAGCGGGCAAATCTCTGAGTTCAAAGTCAGCCTGGTCTGTCTACAGCACTAGTTCCAGGAAAGTCAATATTAGGCTGTGAAGGAAACCATTGAAAACAAAAAGCTGGTGAAAATATATTTGAACAAGGGGGCCCTGTTTCAGCCCCAGCAAGGAGCAGAACTTGGCAGCTTCAGTCACACTGTTCTTGCTTTAGGGTCAAGAATAGAAGATATGAATTATGGAATCTCCTCATACAGCTAAAAAAGCTTCTGAGGCCATGTAGGTGGCAGGGTGTCCCTGTATGGAGGACCAGAGACACCACTGTGTGAAGCTGTGAAGGTAAAGCCTGAATTGCCTTGGAGACCCCAAATCTTGGAGATGCTGAAACTATGGGATACCTGTTGAGCAGAGCTGATAGCAGGAAGTGGAACCAGTCCAAGAGAGAAAACCAGTCAACAAGACTGAAGAGAGTTGAAGATCTGAGGAGCACTTTGATCTTCAACTTTGGAGCACTTTGGAGTTTGCCCAGTTTGTTTTTGGTCTTGCTTTGGTCCAGGATTTTCTCATTTATGTTCATTTAACTACATTTTGAAATTGTAATCTATGCCATGTGTTATTATGCATTAGAAGTGTGTGATCTGCTTTTTCATTTTGATTTTACAAGGAATTACAGTTAAGAGATCGCATGAGTCTCAGAAGAGACTTTGAACTTCAGACTTCTAAACAATACTGGCACTGTTATAGACTATGGGGACTTTTGAAATTGGACTATGGCATGGCTATGAGTATATAGGGGTCAAGGAGTAGAATGTACTGGTTTGAATGAAAATGGCCCCCATAGGCACATAAGGAATGGCAAAGTTAGGAGGTGTGGCCTTGTTGGAGTAGGTGTGGCCTTACTGGAGGAAATATATCACTATGGGGGAAGGCTTTGAGGTCTTATATGTTCAAACTATGCCCATTATGGCACACAGTCTCTTCCTATGGATAAAGATATAGAATTTTTATCTTTTTCTCCAACACCATGTCTACCTGCATGTTGTCATGTTTGTTGCCATGATAATAATGGACTAAACCTCTGAGATTATAAGTCATCCCCAGTTAAATGTTTTCCTTTAGAAGAGTTTTTTCATGGTCACGGTATCTCTTCACAACAATAGAAATTCTGACTAAGACAATCTGTCTATCTAACTTAGTTGCCCATGCTCCACACATTTCCATGGTATTACCTCAGCAACCTTGGAGCCTGACACCCAGAGTTCACTTCTAGGATCACAGTGGCCCACAGATCTACTCAGAGCTCCAAGGACATCAGTTCCTGTCACTCTAGGCAGAGTTCTGGAAATAGGAAATCTCTGTGGGAGAGAGAGAAAAGCTTGAGTTTGGTATGTTAGCACATAGTGAACGCCCCACTATCAAAATAATGATGGTATCCTTGTAGTGTGTTAAGTACACTAACAGCAGCCAACACTCTGTGTTGGCCATGTTACATAAGTACACACCTATTTAAATACTGAGGTCAAATTCATCGTTACCTCCTGTGGTCTGCTTCTCTGGGGCCCTGGAGGCAAGAGCAGTTTGTTTGCCAATTTTTCAGGCTCAGATTCCAAACAGAAGACACTATCATGGGATATGGACTTGGCTCCCATGCTACTCTTAGGCCTACATGGAAAGAAAAAAGTCTTTTAAAAGCAGTCCAAGATTAAGAATCAAAGTACAAGGTATTTTCGTGATATAGATACCAGAGACAGCGCAAAAAGAATGCAGAGATGCATATGTATTGAACCATAAATCAGTCTGTGAGATGGGCAGTAAGAATACAAAAACACAAAGACCAAGATACACAACTTTAGCATATGTGCAGAGGACCTAGGTTAATTCCATGCAGGCTTCCTGATTGTCGATTCAGTCTCTGTGAGTCCCTGCGAGCCCAGGTTAGTTGATTCTGTGGGATTTCTTGTGATGCCTTTGACCCCCACTGACTCCTACAATCTTTCCTACCCCTTTTCTGAAAGCTGGATTCCCCAAGTTCTGCCTAATGTTTGGTTGTGGGTCTCTGAATCTGTTTCTATCAGTTTCTTAGTGAAGCCTCATAAATATAAGTATGTCATTTCCCTGTTGGAGATTATACTTGTTAAAAATAAAGACTGATAGCAGGGAAGAAAGAGATTGGCCAAGACAGCCAGACACAGGGAGAATACTGGGAGAGAAGGAGTCAGGGTAGTGCTGGAGAATATTATTTTAAGGTGTATGAATTTTGTTTATGATACATTTGTTTAACTCTGTGAAGCTGTGATTCTTTGCCTGTCTAAAACACCTGATGGCTTAATGAAGAGCTAAATGGCCAATAGTGAGTCAGGCGAAAGAATAGTCAGGGCTGGCAGGCAGACAGTATAAAAAAAGAAAGGAGAAATGATGAAGAGAAGGGGCAAAAGAACAAGAAGAGGTCAGCAAGCCATAGAGAAAGAAGTAAAGAAAGGTATATAAAAATAGGAAAAGATAAAGGCCCAGAGGCAAAAGGTAATCAAGATAATTTAAGTTAAGAAAAACTGTCAAGAAACAAGTCAAGTTAAGGCTGGGCAATTATAAGTAAGAATAAGCCTCAGTGTACGATTTATTTGAGAGCTGGGTGGTGAGCCCCTCAAAAAGCCAAAAGATTAAAGCATCACATAACAGACACCAGCCAGCTGCCAAGCAAACAAGGCGTGTAGAAAATGAGGTAACCAGCCATGAGCCACATGGCAAAATGTAGATTAATAAAAATGAGTTAATTCAAATGTAAGATCTAGTTAGTAATAACCCTAGTCATCAGCTGAGCATTTATAAGTAATATAAGTCTCTGTGTGATAATTTGTAAGCGACTCCCAGGACAGGAAAACTCTGCCTACATGTGGCACTCTGTGGCAGGCATACGTCCACATAAAGCCTGAAAAGACTTTTAAAAAGGGAGGGATTCTAGACACACAGAAATATAACAAAGAACAGCTTCCTAATTTGTGTCTCTCATGTAGGCCATGGTACAGAGACACATCTCCAGGCTGCAGCACGTGGTCTTGAGCTTAAATGGCATAGTGGATTCCTGCAATCTCTCCCATGGGTCTCAGCACAGAGAGGCTTCTCCTAGCTGCTGCCTGCGGGAGAATTGTCTGTAGTCTGTCAACCATATTTTAATAAAATGCTGATTGGCCAGGCAGGAAGTATAGGTGGGAAAGCCAGACAGGAAGTAGAGGTGGAGCAAAGAGACTGGAAGTATTCTGGGAAGCAGGAAGCTCCCTCCCCAGTTCTGCCCAGACCACCAGAGAGGAAAGATGTAAGCCGCCCCACTGAAAAATGTACTGAGCCATGTGCTAACGTAGATAAGGATAATGGGGTAACATAAGTTATAAGAGCTAATAAGTAGCCTGACCTAATGGGCCAATCAGCTTTATAACTTATAGAGATCTCTGTGTGATTGATTTTCTCTGGGACTTGACGGCTGTGGTGTACCGGGCGGGAACAGATACCCCAACAAGCCAGCCCCGTCATATTACAGCTGCCTACAGGCTTGAGAGCTCTGCCAGCACACTGCATGATGGGTTTATGAGTTTTGCTCATGCATGATATAGGAGGGTCATCTGTCTATGTGTTACTTTCATTGGTTAATGAAGAAACTGCCTTGGCTTTTTGATAGGACAGAATTTATATAGGTGGAGTAGAGCGAACAGGATGCTGGGAAGAAGGCAATGAGGCAGACACCCCTTCCCAAGAAGGACGCTGGCTAGACTCATGCCGGTAAGCCACGACCTTGTGGTGGCATACAGATTACTAGAAATGGGTTAGTCAAGATATGAGAGTTAGCCAATAAGAGGCTAGATCTAATGGGCCAGGCAATGTTTAAATGAATACAGTTTCCATGTAATTATTTCAGGTGTAAACTAGCCAGGGAGCCAGGCAGTTGGAATGCAGCCTGCTGCTCCTTTTACACATGTAGACAGGAAGGATTAAAGATGCACAGTAAGAACCAATTCAAACAAAAAAAAGCCTCTAAATGGGTCACAATGTATTAAAAAATGTGTGTAGGCTTGGGAGACAGAAAAAAGAATATATACAATCTTAGATGTAAAATAATATAGTTTTAAAATAAAATCCTTAAAAAAGAATAGAGTAATAAAAATAAGTCACATAAAATGTAAAATACACAGAGTCTGAATACTGTATATTATTGTGTTATCTTCGAAATTTTTGGCTTCTAAGAGACACTGGACAATAAAAACCAATAGATTGAATCAACCTCTATATTTTAAAAATAACTTCAAAATTTAAGTTAAAAGATATGTTACTTTGGGGGAAAGGTTATGCTTTTATTTTCACATAAAATAAGGGGCTATGGATTCATTCTTGGTTAAAGAAAATCAGGTTTGATCAAGGAAGAGCCCCTGAAATCTTGACTACAGATATGAGAAAATAAACCTAAAGAAACTACAAGACATGTAATGTATATTTTGCCTGCTTAAACACATAAAACAAAGATTCATTGGCTAACTTGTGTACTCTGCACAGTCAATACTTAGATTGATACAGATATGTATGTTACCTTTAAAAGTTTATATATTTTCAGAGCAAGGGGACAATATACCAATAAAGACAGTCCAGATGACCCAACTTCAAGGCTGAGATCATCCAGTCTCACAAAATACTCCAGCTAAGACTTAACAATTATTCTCTTTACCTTAGGGTTTCTCCAAAGATTACCAGTGCCCTCAATCAGCAGGAAGTAGTTTAGAAAACTACACCCACATTTCCAAAATGCTGATTATAAGTTTGTTTACATTTAAGGTGGGTTGGTTATAAATTGTTATTGGTCATGGTCAAAAAGGACTAAACAAAAAATTAAATGTCTCTTTCTAAAAGAAAAAGGTGAATACACTATAAAAATGATGGGGAGAAGGGGTAGATTATTTAATCTACTTTAAACCAAAAAAACAATAGTTAATCTCAAAACATTTTACATTGATATTGATTTTAGTTTATCGATACAAATTTAGTTAATTTTATTATACTGTATGCATATTTCTACTCTTGTTTAAGGTATTATGTTTATACAGCTCAATTAAAAATGTAATATGTAATTTAAAAATACAGATTAATAGTCATTTATAATAGTCAAACTTACAGTCATGCTAGATACATTTTCAAAGTCATAAACATATATTTAGATAGATAGATGATCTTTGAACATTTCAAAGACCTACAGAATATGACATTTAATATGGTTAATAACCTAAGGCTTTTCATGACAATGAGACACATCTGTTCCTGGCAGCATCAATATATTTCAGAGAAGAAAATAGGCATTGAAGAAACTCTTTATAGAGTTTTCTTTCTTTATGGCAAAATCTAGTCATAGACAAATAAACTTCCCTTGCTTCAGTTGCTAGTAGTCACTGTTCAAATTGGACCAGTAGGACTCAAGAAAGGTGAATGCCAAACTTTGCCAAGACAAGGTAGGACAGTTCTTCAAAATTCCCTTCTTCACAGGATAGTCTGTCAGATATGCTAGGCCTGTAGGGCAGAGTTGGATGCCACAATATTACAGGGAACTTTGGGTGACTGTCCAGGCAACCTGATGTCCCTGTCATTAGGTAACATTTCACCCTTCTGGAGTCTTTGACAGAGTTGAAGACTAAATAGTCATAGTTAAAGTTTTCCTTAGTTAGGATAAAATGTAAATTAGATATTCACCAAAATAAGATAGATAATAGATTATTTTCTCTAATTTTGCCAAATACAAATGAATTGGATATTGTTACTGTAAGTCTTAATAACTGTTTTGTTATATATAATCTTACTATGTTAAAGTTAAAACCTTCCCCTTTAACTAAACAAAAAGGGGGAAAATGTGGATTTTACTCATTATTAATAATAAAGTTGACTGGTCAATAGCAGGGCAGAAAGAGATTGGACAAGGCATCCTGACACTGGGAGAATGCTGAGAGAGAAGGGCAGAGTCAGGGCAGTCACAGCAGATGCCAATCAACTGCTGAGCAAGCAGGACGTGTAGAAAAGGAGGTAACAAGCCACAAGCCAAGTGGCAAAATGTAGATTAAAAAATGGATTAATTTAAATATTAGAGCTAGTTAGTAATAACCCTAAGCCATCAGCTGAGCATTTATAGGTAATGTAAGCCTCTGTGTGGTAATTTGTAAGTACCTCTTATTATAGAAAAACTCCACCTACATTTTCCCCTCGCTCTTCTTACCTCTAAACCTTCCCTCCCTTGCAAATTCAGGGTCGTTTTCTTTAATTACTATTGTTACATACATACAAAAATATATGGATATATATATGTACAGCCTGCTGTCTCTTTCAACCTTTCTTAGTATGGCTATAGTACTTTGAATGTATGGTCCTCATAAGCTCATAGGGAATGGCACTGTTAGGAGATGTAGCCTTGTTGGAGTGGGTATGGCCTTGTTGGAGGAAGTGTGTCACTGTGGGGGTGGATTTGAGGTCTCATATATACTCATGATGTGGGAGTCCCTTCTGTGTGTTGTGATTAGCATTAATGAATAAAGAAACTGCCTTGGCCTGTTGATAGGACAGAACTTAGGTAGGCGGGGAAGATGGAACTGAATGCTGGTAGGAAGAAGGGCAGAGTCAGAGAGACACCATGGAGCTGCTGGAAATAGATGTGCTGAAACTTTGCTGGTAGGCCATGACCTTGTGGTGATGCACAGATTAATAGAAATGGGTTAAATTAAGATGCAAGAGTTAGCCAATAAGAAGTTAGAGCTAATGGGCCAAGCAGTGATTTAATTAATACAGTTTCTGTGTGGTTATTTCAGGGCTAAGCTAGCCGGGTGGTTGGAGTGAACAAGCAGGCCCTCTTCCTACATGCTCAAGCCAAGCACAGTGTCTCAGACTACTTCCTGTTGCCTGAGGGTCAAGATGTATTAACTCTCAGCTCCTTCTTTGGCATCATGTCTGCCTGCATGCTGCCATGTCCTACAGTGATGATAATGGTCTAAATCTCTGTAACTGTAAGCCCCCACTTCAAATAAATATTTTCCTTCATAAGAGTTGCCATGGTAATCATGTCTCTTCACAGCAACAGAAACCCTAACTAAGACAGTGGCAAAAACAGCAGAGTAAACAAACCATTTGGGAGTGAGAAGTTACCATTTTTATAGAAATAGTCATTACCAATTTGCAGAAACAATGCAGAATATGCTAGATATTCCCTCCATCCCCCACCCCTCTGTTGTGTAGACAGACTTCTTCTAGTCTTACTTTGAACTCTGAGACAATGTTCTACAATGGTATTGCTTGAACAGTATGAAATGAGCCCTTTTTTTCAACACCCTTCCTCTTAGCAAAGCTATCTGAAAGTCCTCATCGTGGATACATTCATTAAAGAATCACAGATACTTTAATGTCATAATGCCATGGCAAGTGTTTGGGAGAGGGGAGTACTGGGAAAGTCTTGGTATGGCAGAGCCTCAGAGAATGGTGAGGAGCAATAATGAACTCTGTGTGGCACCTCCAGATGTCTGCAGCTTAACATCCTGAGAATTGACCAAAGTGTTCCTTAGAGGGACAGCTGCAGGTACAGGAGATCCCAATGAAAGAGAAAGGTAATGTTTAAATTGGAACACCATATATAATGTGAATGGATGTCAATGAGTGGCTGAGAAACAGTTTCCCCATATCCCTATGACCGCCCAGTGTCTGGGGCAGTGTGGGGGGGAGGCTGAAAGATGGATTGAGCATGCTAGTTTGATTGTGTACTTTAAAGCAACCAAAGATTTTATGGCTAAGTTCTTCTATGCTTCAACACTCCTTTTCCTGAGATTTTATTACTTAGGAACCTAGATTCCATTTTCCTGATCTGCAGTCTGGAGATGAGGTAAACAAAACAGGCCAAAAGACCAAACCTCTGCATGACATGAGCCATCCTGACTTTCTGAAAAGGACCACGAGCTCCTTGTGAACAGTAGGCCTGGAGTCTGATTGTTCTACCTGCTTGTGCATGTTTGGATCCAGCTCCAGCCCCGGTCCCTGACCCCATCTGGGCTTACGTGTGCACTTTGATTTCCATAACTGGCTTCAGACTGCTACTGGAAAAACTTGGCTTTGTCACTCTCCCTTCCTGGACATCTTCTGGCTCTTTCTTCTTCTTCTTGCCAAAAAGGCTCTTAAAGGCTTTAAACTTGAATTTCTTCTTTCCTGGAATTGAGAAACGGACATGAGGCTGAGTGCGGCAGAAGAAGTGAAGGTAGGGCAGAAACCGAGCTGTGGCGGCAGGAAGAGGGCTATGGTCTCAGGTGCCTTGAAGATTTTGCCTCTGGTACCCACCATACCTCATGTGTTTGTGACTTCCTTAGAAACTCTGTAAGCAGGTGTCTGGATTGCTGTGGGAAGGAACAACCCAGGATATAGCTTGGGGTCTTAAGGTAGCTTCAATCCAGGCCAATACTCACAAAGTACCAATTTGCTTGTTAATTTCAATGACTGAGAAAGCTCATCTACATTTTATTTTTTTAGCTTTCATCCTTCTTTATTTTATTTTATTTAAATTTGTTGAAGGGAAGGCCCAGGATGTCAATATATATAGACCACCTGGCCTCGAAATTGTGATCTTCCTGCCTGAAGCTCCCTAGTGCTGATATTACAGGCCTGTGATACTCACCCTCAGATATGGCCTTATCTTTATTCTTCTAATTGCTCAAATCTAGGAAATTGTAGGGATTTTTAAAAAGCACAGGGTCTTACTCTGTAAGCCAGGGTGGCCTCAAACTTAGGTTCCTCCTGCCTGTGCAGCCAGGGGGCTGGAATAACAACCCTATGCCACCACCCTGACTTTGGCCTTCTGTTTGAATTTTTAATGTATCAAATCTAGGAAAGTGGGGAGGATAAGAACAAAACAAAGCAAGAGCAAAAAAAACCAAAACAAAATAAAAAGCAAGCAAACAAAACCCTGTAGATCAAACCGGTCAAAAGTTCTGGATCCTCCTGTCTCAGCACCCCGTGCTGTGATTGCAGGTCTGTGCCACCATCCAGACCTGACTTTGTCTTTTAATGTTTTAATTTTGTAAATGTGGGACATTCTAGCGGTTTTAAAAAAAAAAAAACAGATCTCAAACTTTCAATTCTCCTGCCTCCACACCCCAAGTCTTGGTCTTGTAGGCCTGCAATAAATAAAACCACCTAGGCCTTGCCTTCTCTTTTAAACTAATTTCTTAAATCTATAAAATTGAGGGGGTTTTAAAAATGAGAGCTCACGATGTGGTAAAGGCCAGCCCCATACTCTTGATTCCCGTCTCCAAACTTAAGCTCTGGTATCGCAGGCCCGTGCCACCACTCTAGCATTGCCTTCTCTTTCAATATTCTATTATTTTTAATAAATGAAATTGTGAGGATTTTTAAGGTCCTAATATGTAGCCTAAACTAACTTCGCACCTTTGATCCTTTGGCTTCCACACCACAAGTGCTGCTACTATAGGCCTATGACACCTACCAAGGCTTGACCTGCTCCCTTAATCTTCTGATTAAGGGAATTGTGTGCGCATGTTTCTTTTCTAGAAAGGCTTCTCTTTGTAGCCTAGGTTGTCCTTAAATTCCACCTTCTGCCTTCTACACCCTCAGGGATCATATTACAGGCCCGTGCCAGCACCCCAGGCTTGACTATCTCTTTTAACCTTTTAAATGCTTAAATGTAGGAAAGTGTGGGGATTAAAGCAACAGGGGCTCATTCTATAGCCCAGGCTGCCCTCACTTTTGGAATTCTCTGACCTCCACACCCAGAGTAATACCAACTCAATCCTGGCCTTATGTTTTACTCTTTAATTTCTTTAATCTAGAAATCTGTGGTGGTTAAAAAAAAAACAAACAAACAAACTAAGCCTTGCAGGGCAGTGATGGTGCACACCTTTAATCCCAGCACTCAGGAGGCAGAGACAGGTGGATCTCTGAGTTCGAGGCCAGCCTGGTCTATAGAGCAAGTTCCAGGACAGGCTCCATAGCTACAGAGAAACCCTATCTCAAAAAAAAAAAAAAAAAAAAAAAAAAAAAAAAAAAAAAAAAAAAAAAACAAAAAAAAAAAAAAAAAAAAAAAAAAAAAAACAAAAAAAAAAAAAAAAAAAAAAAAAAAAAAAAAAAAAAAAAAAAAAAACAAAAAAACCAAACCAAACAAAAAAAACAGCCAAACAAAGAAAAACTGAGGCTTACTCTATAGCCCAGACTATCCTCAACCTCTTGATCTTTCTCCCTCCACATACAGAGTTTGGTATTATAGGCATTTGCTACGACCCCAGGCTTGACTGTGCCCTAGTTGATGTATTATAATCCACCACTGCAGGCTAGGCTTCCTCTTTCAGTCTTTTATTATTTAAATCTTAGAAATTGTGGTAGTTTAAAAACCAAAGTCTCACACTGTAGCCCAGGTTGGCCTGGAACTCACAATCCTCCTGTTTCCATACCACTGAGTTCTGGCATCGCTGTGGTATGCCACCACCAAGGCTAGGTGTTCTTATTTAAGTTTCTAGTTTCTTACATCAAAGTTGTGAGGGAAAAAAAAAACATGGTCTCACTATATGGATGAGGCTAGCCTCAAAACTCTTCACCCTCCTACCTCCACCTCCAAATCCTGGTATTTTAGGCTTACACTATCAATCTCTTAATCTTTTAAATTTGTAAATCTATAAAACTATGAGTTTTTTTTAAGGATTTTGATATGTAGCCTAGGCTGTCCTCAGACTGTTGATCCATCCACTTGCTGTTACCAAGAGTACTGGAATGCAGATGAGTGCCTCTATCTCAGGCTTCCCTTTCTTTTTTAATAATCTAATTTTTTTTTAAATCTAGGAAATCATACAGTTAAAAAAAATACAGGATCTCACTTCACAGATGAGGGGAGCTACAAACCCTCGCTCTTCCTGTCTCTATTCCCCCAGTGCTGGGATTGTAGGACTAAGGTAATCTGCAGTTAGTTCTAATTGATGCAATTATAATTGCGATTTTGTCCTCGAAAATGCTTCACATTTAGCCCCTCATAGGGAAATGCCCTGGTGTGCACACTTTCTACTATGGCCATGTTGAATCAGTTTCTGAAACCAGCTTGAACCAGTTTGAGCCAGCCTGAGCCAGTTCCAACCCACCAATCACATTAGTGTGCAGGCCCTTAAGGAAGAGTTGGGCTAAGCAGGAAAGAACCCGCTACATTGCAACCATTAGAAGCACTACGATCTACTTTCGAAACCGGAGGACCAAGATTGACTTTATGAATGTTCACCATGCCTAGAAATACAGAGCCTACTGCCCCCCTTGCTTCAGAATCCAGGAATGGATGCCAGGAAAGCAAAGCTAGATGTTTCAGGGTTCTTACAAAGCAACAAAGACAAGATCGATGCAGCCACAGCCGATAGCTCCATTTGCTACACAACCAGTGAACGTGGGATAGCTGAGTAAAAGTACCAATAAATGGTTAAGGCTGCAAAACCGAGCTTGCCAAGTGTAATCATGACACAAGCAGACAAAATCACATTCTCACACACCTTATCCTCCTGACTTAACAGGATGACTTGTGTACTAGCATCCGGTAGGCACCGATTCCATTTTTCACCCATTCTGCATTCTTTGGAGGGAAGCAGCAACTTCTTTTCCCAGAAGGATTCAAAATACTTTAAAAGATGCATGTCTCTTTCCACTAGGGGCACTAGAGGATAAAGAATGTTTCCATCGTACCCTTGGGGTCTAATTATTTTGAGCATGGGGTTTGCATAGCTTTGCTAGCAGGGATTTGGGGCAACACAAAGAGGCCAAACTGGAAAACATGGCGTGTGGGTTGCTCACTGATCCTGAACAGTGGTGTGGAAGCAGGGCACTACCTTAGACAGTAACCAGCTGCTAGACACACAATTGTGAAGTCCTAATACAGTCAAAGAGGTTTGCCAGATGTTTGAGTATATAAAGATGCTTTTTCAAGTTTTCTTTTTGTAAGGATTGCCTTTAAATTGCCAAGCAAATGAGCCACAAAATTCTTGTTTCCAAAAGCCACTAAAAATATAAAGGGTAGTTAGGCAGGTATGGGGTAAAAACTTTATACCCAGGAGTATATGTCACCTATATGCCTTTAACTCATGTCACCACAAGGTGTCACTATTACAGCCAGAAAACACAGTGGTGACACCTGAGAGCGGTAGCTATCTGGCTTTCTCTAACAAAGCCGTTGATTTCCAAACAACAAGCAACTTTCAGTATCATTTCTCAACAAAACCTGAATGAACGTGTCACGTACCACGAAACAGCCCTTTAAAGGCTGCTCCATAACACCTGCAGAAGAAATCACAACTAAAACCAGTGAAGAAATTGTTGCTGCTGCTTCCTGTGCTTGTTTATCCATCATACACGTGGGCAATCCATCCCATCTGGGTTGAACACAGCTTTAAAATGCATAATATAAAATGACAGCCTTATTCTCTTGCTTTGATGCTCGGGAAATAAACACAGACAGACAGACACGTGCACACATGCGCATGTGCACACACATACACACCTAACTTTTCCTACCTTCCATCTCCAAATGGCCTTTTTAATTTTTTTTTAAATTAATGTTTTGAAAATTCTAGAGAACAGAGCAAAAGTATTTCTCGCTATCCACCCTTCATCAAGATTAGCACATGGCTGCCCTCACCCGTAGGCATGAGTCTCAGTCAGCTGACAACTTAGTTGGGTCTGCTTTAGTGAGTAGGCATCCCACTCATTCCTTCATCCATCCATTCACTCATTCATCCAAGCATCCATTTCGTGAATATTCTGGAGTGCCTAAACTCTCTGAGACCCTGATAACCAGAGCTCAAGAGCACTCAAGGCTCTGTGAGCAATCTCAGTGTGCCACACCTCACACGTTCGTTCAGTGAGCTCACCTCCCCACAGGAAGCCATATGGAGTTCTAGATAGACAGTCTTAAAGCCATGCATGACTGAAGAAAACTCAGCAAATAAATAAAAAATAACAACCCAATTAGCTATTACATTTGGTTCTATCTTTAAAGTAAATTTTCACTTTGTGTCTCATAGTTCCATTTAAATATACTTTTGGAAGAGAAATAGTAATGGGGCGACCATATGAAAATTGAGATACATACATATATAAAACCTTGACAATGAAACCCATTATTTTATATAATTAATATACACTAATAATAGAAAGAAAATCATAATCAGTCCTTCTGATTTATCTCTCTGTTTCTATTGTTCCTTTCAGGTTCATCTATCACTCATAGATGGCACCACAGCTTAGTCAATGAATATGTATTTGAAGAAGGTTTGCAAATGAGGTGTAATTTTACTTTTTAATTTAATATTTTTATTTTTTAATTAGCACACATAGGTTTCATTGCGGCATTTTCAAGTAAGGTTTTTTTGTTGTTGTTGTTGTTGGATTCTCCTCCCATTTCCTCACCCCATTCTACTGTTCCCGCCCCCTTCCACTCCCAGCAGCCTGGTGGCTGTGTTCCTCTGCGGCCTCTTCCCTTCCTCAATGCCTCTTCCACAGTTCCCATCATGGTGGCCCGTTCGGCACTCACACCCACATATGCATAAACATGGACAGCTAGGATATGCATATGAGCTGTTTCATGTTCTGAACTTAGATGCTTGTGGTGGCCTCTTTTGTTTCTATCCCCTTTACTCCTCCCTAGGCTGAATCTGAATTACTATTTGCAATGAAATCTTAATGGAATTCATGATGTTATGGTTCTGTTCTGCTTTTTATTTCTAAAGAAACAGAACTACTTCTACCTTAGTGAGGAGCAGTGTCTGCAAAGATTTTAGGCCTTGTTGCTCCTCCCCTCCCATGCCCCGCCCTCCTCCATCCTTCAATCCTCTCCACTGGTCCACTTCCTAGACCTAGTAACCCCCATTTTGCTTTTGTGTCATGTAGATTCTATTTTTATTTCTTCCTCGCCCCTCCTTTAAAACCCCTCTTCCCTTCTAGTCCCCTCTATTGGTCCCCTTTCTGATAAGACTGGGCTTTTTCCTGATGATGGTACACAGTGAATCCAGCACTGGACATTAAGATTTTATCGGGTGACTTACCCTCATCTTCCAAACCTTCCATGCTGCTGGACACTTCACTTAATGACTCAGCCATGGTAAACTCACTAGGAATGCAGAATATAAGAGAAAAAGATGATTCCTTCAATATATAGGATACTGTAAAAAAAAATCATCTTGCCTTAAGTTATATTCTTTAACTATTCAAGAAAAAAAATACAAATGTAATTGTCACTAGAGGTAGGTATCATCTCTTAAAAAGACAGTAATCCCAATAATAGGAAATGATCAGAAGAGGCAAATACATGGATTTATAAGTTATCTTGCCTAGGGCTGCAGGATGGGGGGTAGTGTTTGGGATTAATGAATGGGGACTCACTGTGACACTTGCGGTACTTCTCAGCACTCGCCCCACACCGAGGGGAAGAAACTATGTCTGAACTTCAGAAGCCCCTGGCAGAGGAGCCTTTTTCACATGATGCCAGGCCCTCTTAGGCTCACACTGCCCTTGATTCACCATCCCCAGTGGTAGAAGGAGAGTTAATAAAGAGAAACTTACAAAAGACAAAGGGGGAGCAAAGACAAAGGGGTATTTTAACTCTCCTGCAACTCGGTGTCACTACGAGAAGCGATTCCATTTAAACCCCAGAGTTCAGTCTGAATTTTTTTTTCCTGGAATACAAGTCTCATTTCCCTCAACTGATCCTAAATGCCCCATGACATGTCCAGCAAGCCCTCATCTCAGGCGGGTCCACGGACCATCTCCACTCATCACCAAGTCCACAATCACGGCAAAGTGAATAAACTTCCCCTTTACAGCAAGTCTTTCCCTGTTTCCTTCACATCTTCTGTGGGACAAAATCCATGAGTTGTCTCTACTCACTTTTTCTATGGCTTCCCTCGGAATTCTCGGTGCTTGTCCCAGAGAGAACTCCAAAGCCACCTGCCTTGGTCCCAGGAACAGAACTGCTCTGCCCAGAGCCAGCTTTCCCACAGTATCTCTCTCTTTCCTGTTCTCCCTTTTAAAACATTTGTATCAGTTCCTGTGCAGAACATCACACTCCCCAAATTTTCCTCTTTTTTTATTGGCTGGTCCTTCCCAGGCTCCTCTAATGGCCCATTCTCCTAGCCCTGACTTTGAAACATAGTATCCGGGCTCTGTCCTTGGCCCTCTTTTTTTTTTTTTTTAATCAACAATAAAGTCCTGGCCCAACAAACATTAACAGAAACACAATTGTCAGCCATATGCACAATTAAGAATTCCCTAGCAGCGACACTTTAAAAACGAGCAACCCTGAAAACAGGTGGAATTATTTTTGATAAGGTATTTTATTGAATCTGATTGAAATAAAATATCGGTTCAACGTGGAATCACAGTAAAAGATGAACAGTGGGTTTGCATTTTTCTTGTCACACTAAACTGCCCCACCAGTTGCATTAGCTCCTTTCTCTCTTTAAACTTAGTCACCAAGTGTCTGCTGCTTAAAGGTTAAAACACTAACTTTCTACACTTTCTGGAGGGGGAGCCTTTCCCCTCCATCTCCCAGCAGCCTCCTGTATGCTCATCCCCAAGTTGTGGTGTCCTAGAATCATCCCCTAAACATACTATGTTATTTTGCTTTTTCTGAACTGTGCACAGCCTGTCCATTATGCCTGGAACACCATCTCCCCAAACGCCCATACCTTTAAGTTCCCTTTTGTTCTTGGTGACTCAAACAGCCATGTCTAGCCCATCATGCTCTTGGCTCTTTGCACATACATCTTCCATAACTGGCATCACCTGGTGGTCAGGGACAGCATCTTGCTAAGCTAAGTAGCATCATTGCCTAGGAACTCTATGCACACAAGGTACTCACTACAAGCGGTTAGATCCCAAGCTTTGCAATCCCAGTATGCATGCCCTGTTTTTTCCCTCCCCTTGGTTGTGGGTGGGCCTAACCTAACTATGTGAGCCCCGTAAAATAGGGTCTAGATGTTAGATACACAAGTCTGAGATTTGAGGCTGTCGCAGATGCTTTTGTTGGCCTTGACAGAACAAATTGTCATGGTGTAAAGACCACAAAGGCAGAGAGCATCAGGCAGCTGGGTGTTCTCAGTCTCATGGCTGAGAGCAACCTTTGGTTAACAGCCATCAAGAAACCTTATAGTGGTGCATGTCTGTAATCCATGCACTCAGAAGGCTGAGGCAGGAGGATGACTTGAGCTCAGAAGTTTGGGCTAGCTTCAGTATTAGGGTTTGGCTATGAAGTGTTCTCTCAAAGGCATTGTTGAAGAGAAGCTGGTGGAGAGAATCATCAAGACGATTTGCTGGGCATGGTAGTGCGCTCCTTTAATCCCAACACTTGGGAGGCAGAGGCAGGAGGATGTCTGTGAGTTCAAGGCCAGTCACTATGGTCTACATACTGAGTTTCTGGATTACATAGGCGAATCTATTATAAATAAACAAATGTAACTCAAGAGCTTTGACCTAATAAATAAATTCACCCACTGACAGGTTTGTAATTTGCTGGTATTGGTGAGAGGTGACTGAAACTTGGAGACGAAGTCTGGGTGAGGGTATTACTGGGAGCATGTGTTACAGGCACTGTCCCCAAACTCCTCACTAGCCTTCACCTCTGTTTCAAGCAGAGTGTGCCTCAGATTTTTTTTATTTTATTAGTTTTTGCCATGGTTACTGCTATTACAGATCTTAACAGTCAATAATACATTAGTTGAGAGAACTGAACCTCTTCAAAAAGTGGGGCAGGAACAGAGGTAAAAGAAAGTGAAGTGGATGTTGGCATGGGCTATGAATTTCCCTTAGCTGGTCGGATTATGTGGGGTTTGACTTAATTCTTCCCTGTCCTTACAATTCCAGAGACACCAGGGAGGGGAGTCGGCAACAGGGACTAGGGAGGGGAGACACCAGAAGCCACTCCCTGGACCTTGGATATGGAGTCAAGAAGCAAAGATGAGAAACCAGGTCCCAAGAGTGTGCCTTTGTCCCACACTGGATCACCCGTACCCCTCGTGACAGCAACTCGTAACTTTCTGGTTTCTTCTTGAGAACCTTTAGTCCATTCTGTGTGGGTTGGAAGACACAATCTGCGGGTCACCCTATGCTCTCAACAAATAGCCTTTGTTCTCTCAGTTCTGTCTGGTGTGAAATAGAGCGGCCTCTGAATAAAAATTCCTCTTAATAGGGAGGAGTTGGCCTAAGTAGAGGCGATTCTGCTATCCTTAGTGGGTGTACACTCAATGAATAACAACGCCTCCCAGAAAATGAGACCCCTGAAGAGTCTCAGTTAGGCTGACAGTTGCAAGCCTTCTGGACCCCTCCTCTGATCTCCTTAGATCTTAAATCCACAGGCATCCCTTCGACTGCACAAAGAAGCAGCTGCTACCTCACTCATGAGCAGAATCATCGGAAGGCACTCTGGCAGGAACCTGGAGGCAGCAGCTAATGCAAAAACAATGAAGACGTGCTGCTTACTGCCTTTTTCCTCCTGGCTTGTTGAGATTATTTTCATTATCTCCTGAAATGCTAGCCTGGTGGCCACAGATTGTTTTATTTTCTACCTGTCTTTAAATGTCTTTATTTCTCCATAGTTTTCTTTTATTTTTTAAGATTTATTTACCTATCTTTTTTAAAATGATTTAATGTGTCTGGATGCTTAACCTGGGATGTATGTCTAGGCACCATGTGCATGCAGTGCCCGTAGAGGCCAGAAGAAGCTGTCAGAGCCCCTAGAAATGGAGTCACAGACTGTTGTGAGCCAGCCGTAGCTGCTGGGAATCAAACCTGGGTCCTCTGGAAGAGCAACCAGTGTTCTAAAGCGCTCTGAGACATCTCTCCAGCCCCTCTCCACACATTTTAAAGACAGCATTACTGGATTTATCAATCCTGGATAACAGTTATTTGCTGTCAGGGTTTTGGCATCTTCCATATTACGTGTTTCAGGCTTTTAGTTTGCTGCTGGATCCACTTATGATGTTCTGATATTTTTTCTCTTTAAGTGCTTGGCATTTTTCTCTTACAGCTTTTGATACTAGTTCTTTGTTTTGTGACTTTGATATCTTGACTTCAATGTTAAGTTATGGAGAAACTCTTCTCTAGTCATGTCTATTTGGGACTCTAAATTCCTTCTGTGCTTCTGTGTCCACCCTTCTGTGCCTGATATTTTTTTCTGCTGCTTGGTCTAATCTATTTGTGACACTTTTCACTGTATTTTTTTTGATTCACTAAGGTTTTCATTTCTACTTGGCTATACTACTCCCAAAAAACACCTAAAAGATTCTACATCGTACTGCAGAGTTCCTGGCACATCCATGTTTATTGAGGCTAGATTCATAATAGTAGGGAAATAGAAAACAGTCTAAATATTAACTTAATTAATTATCAAGTTGATAGACTCTAGAATCACTTGGGTGGACTTCTGGGCACTCCTAGGGGGAATTAAATTCATTACGGTCAGCGATGTGGAGAGACGCATCTTAACTGTGGGTAGGACTATTCCCTGAGCAAAGGATCTCTAAATGTATGAAATGGAAAAAGCAAAACGAGCAGCATCCATGCATGCATCCATCTCTATTTTCTGATTATGGGTGTTATGTGACCAGCTGCATCATTCAAATGAATAATGATAACAATATTTAAAGAAGCAAATAAATGGTTTAAGGAATTTTAAGAGAAAACAAACAGCAGAATGAAGTAAGAAAGACAAATGCCGGACATTAAAACAGAATTCAGCAAGGAGATAAAAATATTAAGAAAACGTGAAACTTAAGCAATGCTGAAAATAAAACTTTTAGTAAGTCAAACAAAACGCTCTGTAGAAAGTCTCACCATTGAATGAATGGGGGTGACGAAATATCAGAGTACAGAGACAAGGTAGAGGAATTGGTACGCTCTATCAAAGATGACAATAAATATTTTAAAAACACATAAATCGAAAGTGGAAGATATTTGAGACATCTTGGAATGACCAAATTAACAAATTCTAGACACAGAAGAGCTCCATGCAAAAGGTATGGAAAATATTTTCTTTACAACCACAGCAAAAATTTCCCCTGTCATGGGACGCCTGTCCCTTTCTGAATGGAGATAGAGGAGGAGTGGATGCGGGTGGGGAGGTAGAGGGGAGTCGGGGGAGGGGCTGGGAGGAGAGGAGGGAGAGGAACTGTGAGCGTGAGGTAAAATAAATAAATTTTTTAAATAAAAAATTGTTCAGAAAATTCTCCATGTCTAGAAAAAGTGAACCACAAATAGGCAGAGACAGAAAAGAACAAAGAAAGAACATTGAGAACGGCAAGAAAGAAAAAAACCACCAAGTGGCATACAAAGGCAGGTCCAACGGAATAACTGATTTATAAATAAATAAATACTAAAAGCCAGGAAGACATAACAAGATATAATTCAAGTTCTGAAAGGTCATCACTGCCAGCCAAAGCTATTATATCCAGCAAAAACATTTATCATAATGTAAGGAGAGATAAAAATGCCCCATGATAAAAAGCACACTAAAGGGGTTTATGAATACTAAGCCAACTCTACAGAGGCTTTGGATGGAAGAGAGTGATAAACACATTCAAGAGTCTACAGGAATGGGATTAAATATCCAACCACAGGATTTTAACGAATGAGAATTAGAAAACCACCAAACACTACAAAATCAACAGTGACAGAAACCAAATACATTTTCCCATAATAATTCTGGATGTTAATGATCTCAGCTTTCTAATTAAAAAATACAGACCTGCAGATTGGACTTAAAAATAAAAACAGAATCAATTATTTCTTGCCCTTAATAATACATTTTGCTTTTAAAGATGGATGATGCTATCTTAGGGTGGAAAGATGGAAAAAAGGTATTTCAGGCAAATGGAACTGGGAAACAAAAAGATGGAACTAATCTAATATCTCACAAAATAGATTTCAAACCAGATCTGATGAAGATACAGAAAGGTCATTTCATAGTAGTTAAGGGGACAGTCCACCAAGATGACTT